CCCCAAAACCCCAAAACCCCAAAACCCCGTTATATTTTAATATCATTGAAAAGTTAAGATAAAGCCTAGAATAATTTATTTAGGCTATGTATTCTTCTCCTTAGCCTTGTCAAAGGCCTCAGCGAAAATACCGACCACATAGAAAACTGATTCTGAGTAATCATCTCCTTCTTCTCTCAAGAGAACATTGAATCCTTCAATATAAGCAGATTTATCATCCATACAAGAGAAAACAGCAACCATGAAAAATGGCTGAGAGAGGAAGAATGATACCTTTCTTGCTCTTGCGACTGGAAATTTATCTTGAGGTGCTAACTCATTCATACCCCAAATGGTCTATATTATCCTGCAATGATTTATTATCCTGAGGTAGTTTCTGAGTATTTTTTGCAAAGTTATAATTCTCTTCTCCTACAATAGCAGGATCAAGCATTCTTGGTTTAGAATCGAGAGAATCTCCGGTTGGATAAATATTAACCTCAGTCAAAACTCTTGACAACACAGTAGTAGCATCAAGATGTGCTAATGTAGTAACCGGAGCTGGATCTGTAATATTGTCTTTTGGCACATAGATAGCTTTGACAGATGTGATAGATTCTTTCTTAACAATAGCGATTCTTTCTTGCAATACACCTAAATCTGAAGCTAAGGTTTGCTGGTATCCTACTGCAGATGGCATAAAACCAAGCAAAGTTGGAACTTATTAACATTCCTGAACGAATCTGAAAATATTTTCAGAGTAATTCAAGATTAAAGACCAGCACATCCTATCCTTCTTCATCTCTGAAATATTCAGCTATAGTCAGTCCAGCCAATCCACCCTGGTTTTGGCACTTGAATTTTCATTCATTTATTCATATACAAGAGCTGCTTTTGATTTATCTCCTTCAAAACCAATTATATCAGACTCAATAATTTCATTGCAAGATCATTACCCTCTCTAGTTCTTTCTCCTATTCCAGAAAACACAGAGAAAGTACCATGGCTCTTCGCAATATTTTTAATAAACTTCATGATAAACACTGTTTTACCAACTCATGCTCCTCCTAAAATCAAATTTTATATCCTCTCGAGTATGGAGTCACCAAATCACCAAAATTGATTCCTTGCTAAAGGATCTCTACCTCAGAACTCTGACCTTCGAAGGAAGGATCCTTCCTTTGAATTGGTAAGTAGTAATCAATATCAATTGTACCTCTCTTATCGATAGCTTGTTCAATAATTTTCCTGATTCTTCCAAATGTTGCTTTCCTACTGGCACTCTGATTGGATCTCCAGTGTTAACAACTTCATAATCTCTCACAAATCCATCGATCGAATCAAGAGCAATGTTTCAAACGGTTTGACCACCCAGATGTGCGGACACTTCAAATACCAGCCTTATCAAGTCTATCAACCTCAAGAGAATTAAGGATAGATGGTAACTCTTCTTCAAAGTAGATATCCACAACAGCTCCAATAGTCTGAGTAATTCTTCTAGCACTACTTGGGGACCAGTGGAGAAGCATCCCTTTTGAAGATTCTTTGCTAAGATAGATAGTATCTTTATTTAAAAAATTACAACTTTTCCTTCTAAATCGCAAGCTAAACTGCAAATAAAGAGTTAGTTTGAAATAAGACATAAGGTCCCAGCTATGGCCCAGCATATATCTACTGAGACTTCCAACTCTAAACTTGTTAGTAGCCTAAACAGTTTATTTCATTCTTCTTACATCTAAGATTAAGCGGGAGGGTTTGGATCAATTTAATTGGCAGAGTTAAGCTAAGGAACTCTTCCTTTTTTGTGCCTAAAGTTTACTTTTATTTTATTAAAATTTGATAAAATGGTTCCTGCTATTAGGAATACGGGGTTTTGGGGTTTTGGGGTTTTGGGGTTTTGGGG